AAGAAATCAGATTTGCTTCTCTGCCCTGCTGTGAAAGATTTCCTTTGGAGAACGTGCTTTCCTCAAGAACTAGCTCTGAAATATCTCATTCTGGTTTTGGTTTTGTTCTCTGAAATGCAGTAGACAACGTATGCTTGCCTAGCCAAGAGAAAGCAGACGCATGCCCATTAAGAGTGTGTGAATAGCTGAGGTGTGAAGCCGCTTGTATTGCCAGGTCCCGCGGCCCCTGATGAAGGCTGAGCTTTGAACCGGGACCCTGAACTTGGCAGCTGAGGCCTCGGCTGTCTGCGTGCGGCTCAGGTTTCCCCATGCTGGGCTCTTGAGGAGTTTCCTAGCATTCACGCTCCCTAGCGACATTACACGTCTGCAAGGGGAAAAATGCAGATTCTGCAAACTGTTACTCCCGTGGGATCGTCGGGAAGAGCAGGGGGCTGCCTGTCCTCGTCACGCTGACGGAGCTGCACCTTCTCTCTGCACCGTCCGCTTTGGAAACCCGCATTGCGAGGGAACCCCTGCACACCCGCACGTGCGGCTGAGCTGTGACGGGTGCTGCCTGATGACATTAATGAGGTGTCGTTCATTTACTCCTCCTCAGCCATTTCCTTTGGCCACTGTAAATATTCACAGCGTTTGCAGGACCATGAGGCAGTATAGCTGTTTTTAGCACCTAATCAGAGCGCAGTTTTAACATAAAAGGCTAAGGTAAGGCCCCACGGACACACTCCAAAGCCAAGCGTAACAGGGCTTGCCCTGTCATGGGGCTCAAGAGAGCAGGGGGAGGAAAGTGCACTTAAGAACTGAGTGAAGCCAGCAGGTTTGAAGGTAAAGGAACAGGGAGATCATTTTCCCTCTGCGGATGAGGGAGGAATTTCTAGGAATGCTGTAAGATCACAAATATGACCAGGAAGCGTCTGTGCAGCCTGTGCTTGGAAGGCTTTTGTCTCCTCTCCACAAAACCCATTGCAGCCAGGTCTCTTGGGCCAACAAGAGCAAGCAGGTTCTCTTTGTTTCATTTCCCTGGTTGTGTCTCCTCAGGATATGAAGGCTCGAATTTTGCACGATTCATAAGAAACTAGGGCACCCAGCAGTACTCTGCCCCAACTTGCTTAGACTATTTTTCAAGATTTTCATCCTGAATCCTGTTCTTCGAAGGTTGTAACTGACAGGGATGGTGTGCCTGACTCCATTTGTCCAAATCCCCAAATTCTCTAAGGTAAAAATGAATCTACTAGGATCCAGAGGAGTCCTCCCGATTTATGAGTTCACAGAAGGTTTTGTAATCAGCTTGAAAAATTGGCTTGTCAAAATAATGCTGAATTTTATTTGCGTGTTCTGGGCTTTTCCTCCACTCTTGTTGCTAGTTCGGAAAATAATCCAGTTGAAGTACATGTAACCATGAACGCAGATTGGCTTTCAGCATAAATTTTGCTAATCAGACATCTACTAATAGCCCAACATTTGATTTAGTAGTGACTTCATTAAGTATAGAAGCCCTTTCAACTGAGTAATTCGACTTGGACTCAATAGAGTATTGGAAAACATACAGCCAGTAGGGAACAATCTTACTTTGGCAGGAATGATGTACGAGGCATAAAACCAGAGGCCTCTTCTCTCTGTAGTTCCTGTGGGCCAGTTCCTGAAGTCCTTAATCAGCAGACTTCTCATGGTCTTCAGCAGGTTTGCATCAGACCAGAAAGCGATATAGACTGTTATGTCTCTGGGCAGAAATCTGTGGGCGGGATCCAACGCCTATCTTTGACTAAATGAGGCCAGAATGTGGAAAAGCATATGCTGGGGTCAGCAGAAGGAGGTCCTCAGTGGTAGGTGAATCCATGGTAGTGTTTTTAGTTTCGACCAGGAGTGAACTTCTGAGATAAATCTGCTTGTCCTCATTGTCCTCATGCTGCTACACATTGTGGAGAGGTCTTGCAGCACCCGGACTGAATTGTCTTCAGAAGGAAAGATGGGTTCAGACCCCTCTGACAGAAGACCAGACTAGAGCTGCTCTGAAGTAAACCCATGGTGAAATGTGCATACTATGATTGCTGGGCCCTTCATCACTGTTTCTGTTCCTATTAAGCTGCACTAACTGCTAATGTGTAAATAACCGATTTTTTTTACTCCACCCTTTGCTTGAAGACACAACTAAGCCACTGAACTCCTTAAAAAAAACCCCTACTTTCAGTTTAACTACTTTCAGCGTTTGAAGAAATACTATTAAGTTTAGCAGTGAAGTTTCTCGGAACATTTATTTGCAATCTGTGTGGCAATCTATCTCATTTATTTGCGTTAATACAGTTTGTGTTTGCTGCGTCACTATTGCCTAGACTGCCATGGCATGACTCAGTTGTCTATGCGTAGGAGTCTGGTAGCATTTGAGGCACTCTAGAGCGTCTGAGACATCAGCATACAATAAGCAGATATGACACCTAATTTAATCATACTTAACACGTTTTCTTCGTAAGGATGGGATTCAGTCATCTCACTGTAGGCCTCTAAGGCCTTTGAACTTGTCTCGGATCTCCTGACTCCAATGGGGCTCCTTTACAGGCCATGGATCTGCAGTAAGTCCTGTCATTTCTGTCAGCCGGCTGTGGATGCCTCACACAGCCCAGCACATCCTCGATGGCACTGGGCACCTGCACTTGGGGGAATGGATCAAGCCCTGGTCTTTCTGTGGCCAGAGTGATTTTTGAGTGTTGGAAAAGTGTCCAGCATGGAGGGACCTTGATGATGACTTATTGTTGCCCTTACGATAGCATCTGTAATTGATAATAGTGATCAGAATAGAATAACGAGATCGTATCTGCTTCAACAATGAAAGATAACTCCATCATTTCAGCCCTACAAAGTCTCTGAAAGGTTTGTCAGGTTTTATATACAGGGCAACATCTTGTCTGGGCTAAAAACACCAACAGTAGCCCAGCTGTCATATTAGAGAGTTCTACCCAGCCTGAAAGATTTGCTGTATGGGAGCCTGCTACAGGAGGTAGTGGAGACAACAAATAGTGATTCTATAAGGCAAAAAAAAAAAAAAAAAAAAAAAGTATTTTGTACACAGCTCTTTTACCTTTATTAAGAAAACCAAAAACTTCTCTTCTATTCCATTTCAGTAACAGAGTTTTTGGGTAATACCAGAAATCTAGCAGGTAATATGTTGTTCGGATGGAGAAGAGACTTTTGTAAAAGATAGTATTAATTAAGGAGTTTACCAGCCCCTCCCCCTCCCCCCCAAAGTGATTACATTTTTTGATGATGCCCGTGTCATCTATGACTCACTAGAATTCAACAATAGAGGATGTCATTTTGGTTTGGTTTTGTTTAACTTAAAAGAGGAAGCTCATACATATACTAACTTTGAGAGTTTTTAACTTCACGTATCACCTCAGGGTCTATACTGAGAGGTTTATTGTTTACGATGTCAGCTCTGATCACAACCTTTTTATGATCTGTGTCGACTCAAATCCCTAGATAGATAGCAGAATGCCATACTTTTTGTTACTTGGAAAATGCCACTCCAGAGAAACTCCACTGATCCCTAGGAGTTATTCCATTTACAAAAACCACTGCAGTTAGGGGCAGAAACCTTGCCTGGTCCTCTCCTGGCAAAGCACACAAATCAGAAGTATCACAGACTTAATAGTCATCATTTGGCTTCATGTCAGACTGTCTCCAGAACCAACATCCTTACACTAACACAGAAGTTTTAGAAACTCCAGCTGGCATAAATAACCATGCCTTGAAAGGAAGCACCAGTGATCAACAACTTACGTAGGTATTTTGCGAAGTAAAAAGTTGCCTTCCCAGCATTCTCAGTACCATCCTCCAGAAAATGTTCAAAGAGCCAGAGGTCTGGATCCTGTTGCTTCCCCTTCTTTCGGTTGACTCAGATGACAGCCTCCTTTCCCGGTCCAGGCGTCTCAAAATATGCTGCAGCTAGGCCTGGCACTTGCTGATGTGTCCCCTCACCAGGAGCAAGGATTTTGGCTTGCGCATGTACATGTTGCTCTGCTGAAGCCAGTGGAGCTATTTTAGTAACAAGGCTCTGGCTCACTACAGAAGTGTCTTTCTCTTAAAAGAAAAGATTCTATTAAGTATTAAAAGAACAATAAATAGCAAATAGAAAGTCATGATATTATTGATTTACTTCTTTAAGTCTTCAGAGGGATGATTTAGATGTTTAGAAGCCTGATCTTAAAAGGTTTTTTTTTTTTATTTATATTTATCAAGGTACAAATATCTGCACTCACAATGCATGCTCAGTCTTGCATGGGAGATGTAGCTTTGGCATTCTTCATGTTGATCTCAAAACAAGTGCTCCTAATTTTGGTGGGAGCACACCTACACCATTATGGTTCATGTGTCTTTTGTTCTGCGCTTATATGACCATTTAAAGTCAGAGCAGCACTGCACAAGTATGAGTGAATAGAGACTCCCAACCTGTAACCCTTTTGCTCACTTGTTAATTAACTGCTCCATGTGCGGGAAGCGCTGAATAATAAATTTGTAGGAAACTGAAGAAAAACGACATCAAAAGGAGTTTCCAGTCCAGCACAATATGGTGTATTAAGCTACATCTCAGATCAACTTGCTTTTTCTTCATGTGGGCAAACTTGCTTTTCTTGGGCTATTTTGTATTGGCTTCACTGACTGTCATGCCTACAAGCTGACTGTCATGCCTACAAGCTAGACAGAAACAGCCAATTCTTTGTACAGGTTGTGCTTTTACACTTTAAATAACCAAGATTGTAGCAGTCATTGGAATGCTCACTTATCTGCTATTTTGCATTTGCATCCTGCAGCTGAGTTGGACAGTTAGGTATTTTTAATCAGCTATCTTAAAGACTTATGAGTCTCCAACAACTCCCATGTTTTTTCCTTTGCAGGTGCCATCATTGTCCACAGCTGCCCTCCAGGACCCACGAGACGCCATGCTTTCTGTCAGAGTACAAGGAGAAATACCCTCTTTATCCCAGCTCTCATCCCAGAGACTCGTTCAAGCCCAAGGAAGAATACAGGATGCCGCAGATACCTATGGAAGGCATCTCGACTGTGAAGTATGAAAAGACGTGAAAGAGAGTGAGGACTGTGAGCTAGAAAAAACGTGTGTGTGGGAGATGGGTGATGGAGAGGAGTGAAATTGTTGTTTTCACATGGGGAGCCTGAAGAGAGCAATGCTGGGGTTGTACAGACACTTAGGAGGGCTCCACAAAAGGAGTGATGAAGGACAACAGAGTTTGAGGCCAGTTCTTATACTGGAGGCAAGCAGTTATTTTTCTTCCTGGAGGTGGTGGTGTGGTCTGCTCAGAGAACACATGCGCCATGGGAGCACATCATGATCTTGGTGTTAATTCAGTTCCAGCTTTGGGTAGGCTTCTGGGAATTCAATAGAAATGTTGCCTGAGAAAATATGGATGATATTGGAAGCGTTTTTTTGTTGATGTTCTGTGTTTTGTATGGCACTGTGTACAGTGTGACCCAAGTTGACTGGTTTCCAAGGAAGTGTGAGTATGGTAAACTGCGCTGACTGCAAAGGAAGCGTGGGTGCACTCCTCAAGGGAGTCATTGTGCAGTGGTGAGCTATTTTTGCTTCTCAACTACGCTGCTGCTCAGACTGTTGATATTCAGCATAAATCCTCACACTTGTATTATGCCCATTTTGCTGATGGAATTAAGCACTGAGCCTGTTCCCTGCTGCTCGTAGGAGGATGTGCCAAGCAGTTGTCCACAGGAGAAACTCATGAGAAAAAGGCTCAGATCCTGTAATATGAATAATAATATGAGACCTTTACTCAAATGAAGGCTGCTGCATGATCTTCATGTTCACTTCCTCTGTTGTCACAGGCTGGGTCATGAACAACCCCACTCTTGCCTTTGCTGCACCTAATTAGAGATCCAGGAGATGTCAGTAGCATTAGTGAGTGTCAGTGGACTAGTAAGTCTCAGTATTTAGCACTGGCCACAAACACTTGTCCTAGTCACGACATGGAAGCACTTCCACCTGCTTCCCCTCCCTATGCCTTTTTAAGAATTGTCAATCTAAATCACAAATATTGCTGAAATGCCTGACTTCTACTTACATTTGGAATGCCTCTGCCTATGCAGGAGATTTCAGCAGGTGCTGCAGGGTCCCGGGGGCTTCAAAGAGTCTTTCATAGACTTGATTTCTGCATATGTCTTCCATCTCCTACATAAAATGAAGCAGCCACAGAGAAATCTGTCTTTGTATCTGCCTATAACTAACTTCTGGTCTCGTATGCATGACATTCAGGAAAGTGAGGATGGACCTTAGAAATTTCCTGTTTAAACAGCAAAATTATCCTCACTCAGACAGAGGTAATGATGCCCGTAGTAACTACCACTCCTGGAGGGTAGTTACTTGCAAAAATTAAACTGGCAGAAAAGCATAGGAACTACTTACATTTGTTTCTTCAAAGCATATGCTCCATCTATTCCTAACACTTACCTACCCCTGTGAGAGGAGAATGTACCAAACTTAAAAAGCTAACCAGTAGACTGCAAATCTTGCTGTCCTTTGCAAGGAACTATGGTAAGAAAAAACATGCAAGGTGCAAGTGTCAAGGCCCAGTGGAAAACTGCCGTTACCCACTAAAGAGGGCTAAAAGCTCTCCTGTGTGATTAAACTCTCCTCAGACCAAATGAATTGACTGAACAAATAAGAATAGCTGTGGTGACTGCGAGGTCAGCAAATACTGAGTCCTCTGTAATAGCCCTCTGCAGAATGTCAGGTGTCTTATTGGAGCAAAAAAACCTCCTTGATGAAGTCCAGGAGTTGCAAGCATGACTATTTTTCATGGTGTCTTGGATGAAGGTTGCACTGATTTACCAGCAGATCAGTCTATCCACCATCATGTCCAATGCAAGTTCTGCTGTACTGCAACAGCCAGAGTATGAGAGGGGGTATTCCTGCCCCAAGAAAATCTTTGGATGCACTGGTGAAGAATTGCCTGGCTGTCATCTGTTACATACCTCTGACTCAACTGTTTCAGATATGGGATTGTGCAGCATACTGTCTGTGCCTTGGGAAAGGCCCTCTCTGCTGCTGAGCCCTCCTTGCTACTGAGGATGCTGCATGCCAGTCTTGCTTGCCTTTTCCTGGCCCCTCTTAAAACTACATTGGCTATACTTTGCTGACAAAAGGGTGCCAAATGGCTAAAACGTGTGAAACCTATATAAGCACTTCTTGATGCTCCTGTTTTTTTTTTTTTAACTTCTGCACCTCTGTTTTTTACCCCTCTGTCTAATACTTTACAATGTTAATATTCCTCCCTTCTGCTCCACATTCAGGAGTTTGAGAACGTTGTTTATGTGCTAAAATACACAGGTAATTCACTAAAGTCAAAGGCTTGAGTCTCTTGCCCACCCAGCAGCACTGCAGGTGCAAGGTGCCATGTTAATATTGAAACAGCTGATGGTTTCTCCTGGCCAGCTGCCCATGGTGCAAATAGATCAGCACACCGGGGCAAAAGCACTCTTAACATTAGAGATCGAATCTGCTGGTGTCAGACTCTCTGTCCTGTGCCAAGGGATCTGGGCAGTGAAATAGGTTCAAGTTAGTGAATGCTGCATGGTGATATTGTTTTCTACTCCATCCTGTTCTGGTAATGTTTTGTTGGAGTTAACTAACGCTACTTAACTATTTTATTAAATAGATCTAAAATAGCTCTTTTACAGTCGTTTATGAGACGAAGTTGACTTTCTGGCTGCGCTCACGTTTCTTTCCTCAGTTAGTGCTGGGCTGTAAAACTGTTTTGTTGATATCTCCCCGTCCTTGGCTGAGTTACTGTGCTTTGCATTGTCTAGGAAGTCTATTGTTCCCTCTCTCATATGTTTTCCATACATTATAAACAGCCTGCTCTAATTATTGGTCTTTTAAAAGGAGTTATGTCCCCTGGTGTAACTCCACTGTAGAACAGAGATAGCTTTGTGTAAGACCATTTACCTCACTGGGTGGAAAGAAGGTTGTCCAGAGCTGTGTAAGTCCCCTTTTCAGAGTCCAGGTTTTTAAAAGCAAAGGGCTTGTGTGTTTCAGTAACCATTTGTATCCTGTCCACACTTTCATAGGCTGTGGAGGCAAGGGAAGTGTTTATTTCTTTGTGTGTCCAGGAAAAGGAACATAATTTTGTCTTTAAGATAAAAGGCATATTGACATTATTGTTTGCAGGAGAGATTACGTAGCTCATGAAGTGTTCCCACCGAAATTCAAACCACCTGAAAAGATTGTCAAGAGTGATGAGAGTATGGATTTGACCTCCACGTATAGACAAGATTATAACCCCTACCCTATCTGTCAAGTACCTCCATGTCTCCCCCGTGAGACCAGAAACACCAACAATCACAAGATGGACACATGGACAACTTACAAAGGTATGTGCCCTTGCAGCTGTTTTTAGGATTCACTGGTAGCATCACTTTCAAAGAAGACACGTTGAAAAAGTGTGTGGTTATTATTCCTTCTGTGTATGTACACCAGATCATGAAGCACAGGATCAGTTTTGTGCATGCTGCAGAATTAATTTGGGGGTATGCAAGGGACGTACCTGGGAATTGTGGGTATCCAGAAGTACCAGGCTCTACCCCTGGAAAGAAAGAGATGAGCTGTGGACCTAATTTTGCATTTATTTCTCAGTAGCAGTAGCTTGTTGTAGGTGGTTTGACTTTCTCAGGGCTATGTTCCTTCATCTCCATCAACACTAGCTCTCTTTTGCATGCACTGGGACAAATCTTGCCGTCATACAGTCGCAGTAAGTACTAGTTTTGGTAGTTAGTCATAAGTAGAAAATTGGAGGATTTTGCCTCCTTTTTTACACTGTTTCTAGCTAGCTAATGTTGTTAGGCAGATAGCTAGCATTTGTCTATTATTTGAAATCATTTTTAATACTTTTAGTTTACATTATGCTGTGCAAGTATAAAAGCTTGTGATTGGTGCTAGCATTGAGATTGGTCCCAATGTACAGAAATATTTTCTTCTTTAAACTCAGAATAATGAAGAAGGAAGGAAATAAAAGCTGTGTGAATGCAGTGTTAAGATGACCCAGCTGAAATGACTGAAAGCCAGACTTTAGTACGGCTGCATGTTTGCAATGTCGTAAACTGGAATTTTTACATTAAGAGTACAGGAAACACTGTCCATTTAGAATGACTTGAATTGTGCAGACTGTGACCCTCAGGTGCAAACTACCCACATTTACGCAAATTTGAACACTTCTTTGTTTTGCATAGGCTATGTCACCAGATGGTGTTCGCTGGAACAGCTTCACTGAAGCCAATAAAGAAAAACTGCTTTGCATACACAGAGGATCTTTCCTTCTGCATTTAGATATGCTTAAGTTCTCACTATCTATCTGAACCAGATGTACATCTTGTCTTTTATCAATGTTTAGGTCAGGACCTTAACTGTTACTCAAGTTTTCTAATAAAAACGTATCACAACCACATTCGGTTAAAATTTGCAGTATTTTTCAAAATACTGCAAATGGAAATCTCCATACAAAACTCTTCAAAGATCAAGTTCTGTATTGAATTAATCTTTCTTTAAGGGCCTGGGCTCACAAGAGTTCATCGTACTCTTCTCCAGGCATTGCTAGGTTTTACTGATCATCATTTAACGTGTGCAGTGTTGTAACACACTATTCAATTAATTAAGCACAATTCAAATACTTAAGCAGTATATGAAAGAGCGCTGCTTTGGTATTAAATTACCTCTCCTACTGTATGGTTAGACTCCTCCTGACTACACACACCATGTCCCAAACTACACTGTAGGTTTAAGATGATGCTATTGCATACCACAATTAATGTCAGAAGATTGGCAACTTCTTTTTTTTTTTAACTAAAAGAATTGAGGTTTCAAAATCCTAATATCCCAGCTACATTTAGCTGCTTTTACCCATCTGCAGGTATGTAAGCTAATTTTAGCGTTGTCTTGCTTGGTTATAGTGAGATGTGCCTAACCCTCCAACAACATATGGTTCATATCCTTTGTTCCCTCCTGTACCCCCTAATGCTTTCAAGACTGTGCTATATGGGAAACTATTAATATCTATGGGAGAAGAATTAGAGTCACAATAAAAGTGTAACATATTTTGAAGGGATAGAAGCACTGCTGGCTTATACTAAGTAAAATAAATTCAGAATCCCTATGAGGTGTCCAAATCTATGCAGCTCGTAAATGTCTAAAATTGAAGATAGATGACTTTCTTGTCATATTTTGAATATTTTGCAAAGCCGTGGTTATGTCCAAAATGCATAGGCTGGTTTACCAGCAAGGACGACGGAAACCTTAAATGTTTTCAATAATTCCTGGTTGGCATCTGAAATGCTGGCTCTCTGAACCAGTCCTTGCTAGGAGATGGACCGCGTCTTATCAGTTTCTTTTTAACAGGCATTATTAGTAGATACCCTGTAATGACATAGCTCCATGCATGCTCTTAGATTACCTGCTGGAGCATCTTTCCAGGAAAATGATGTGCCTTATCGGAAAATTTGTCCAGGGCCTAGCTGCGAGGTCAGGATCCCACCAACTCAGCAGTGCCTGGGCAACTCCTGCTCCCCATAGCAGAAATGTGTGCACCTCAGGGAGTTAAACACCCCTGGGACTAGTACAGCATTCGGCCTGAGGGTTTCAGTGGCAAGAATAGCAACAAGCAAATATCTACCCAAGTGTATGAACATCAACACAAGTGTATGATAAGCCAGTTGAGAGCTCGATGAGTCGGCTGAGCTTATGGATAAGGATTAAGGGGCAGAACGATATTGGTGATGTTGCTGGGGGTGTTTGCCACATGGTCAGGAACAAGATGTAGATGAGGTCTTCTACAGACAGCTAGAAGTAGCCTCATGTTTGCAGGCCCTGGTCCTCATAGGAAACTTTAACTACCCTGATATCTGCTGGAGGGACAACACAGCAGGGCACAAGTAATCCAGGAGGTTCCTGGAGAGCATCAGTGACAACTTTCTAATACAAGAGATAGATAGAGGAGCCAACGAGGAAAGGACCTCATGCTTATGAGCAGGAAAGAACTGGTTGGGGGTGTGAAGGTCAGGGCCAGCACTGGCTATTGAGACCATGAGATGGTGGAGCTCAGGTTCCTGAGAGGAGGGAGCAGGGCAAAAGTTATGATGACCACCCTGGATTTCAGGAGAGCAGACTTTGGCCTTTTCAGGCTTGGAAGAATCCCATAGGATACAGCCATGGAAAAATGATGAGTACAGGAGAGCTGGTTAATATTCAGAGATCACCTCCTCCAAGCTCAAGAATGGTCCATCCCAAAGAGCAGGAGATCTGCATGGATAAACAAGGAGCTCTGGGCAAAACTCAAACATAAAAAGGAGATGGGAACAGTAACCTGGGAGGAACATGGGGCTAATGTCTGAGCATGCAAGGAAGGGTCTAGGGAAACCAAAGTCCCTCTGGAATTCAATCTGATGAGGGAAGTCAAGGGCAACAAGAAGGGCTTCTGTAAGTACATCAGTAGCAAAAGAAAGACTAGGGGAAATGTGGGTCTGCTGCTGAATGGGGCAGGGACTCCAGTGACAAAGGACATGAAAAAGGCTGAGCTACTGAATGCCTTCTTTGCCTCAGTCTTTACTGACAAGCCTGGCCTTCAGAAATCCCAGGCTATGGAGAGCAGGGGAAAAGTCTGGAGAAAGGAAGACTTTCCCTTGGTGGAGAGGGATCAGGTTAGGGATCACTTAAGCAAACTGGACAGATACAAGTCCATGGGCCCTGTAGGGCTGCACCTGCGAGTCCTGAGAGAGAGCTAGCCAGTGTCATTGTGAGGCCACTCTCAATCCTCTTTGAATGGCCATGGTGACTGAGAGAGGTTCCTGACAACTGGAAGAAAGCAAATGTCACTCCTATCTTCAAACAGGGCAAGAAGGAGGACCTAGGCAACTACAGGCCAGTCAGCTTCATCTTGGTCCCTGGGAAAGTGATGTAGCAACTCATCCTGGAAGCCTTTCCCAAGCACAGGAATAACCAGAAGGTGGTTGGGAGCAGTCAGCATGGATCCACAATAGGGGAAATCATGCCTTACCAACCTGAGAGCCTTTTCCGATGAGATGATTGGCTGGGTAGAAGAGGAGAGAGCAGCGGGTGTTGTTTAATCTCAGCTTTAGCAAGGCTTTTGACACTGTCTCCCATAACATCTGCACAGGCGAGGAACTCGGGAAGTATGGGCTAGATGAGTGGACAGTGAGGTGGATTGAGAGAATTGTGATCAGAGGCACAAAGTCCAGATGGAGACCAGGCACTGATGGTGTCCCCGAAGGGGTCAATGCTTGGGCCAACCCCGATTAACCTTTTCATTAGTGACCTGGATGATGGGGCAGAGGGCCGCCTCAGCAAGTTTGCTGATGAAACAAAACTGGGAGGAGTAGCTGATAGATGGTTGATTTGCCAGATGGCTGTGCTGCCACTGAGAGGGACGTGGACAGGCCGGAGAGATGGGCAGAACGGAGCCTCATGAAATTCAGCAAAGGGAAGCGCGAAGTCCTGCCCCTGGGGAGGAATAACCCCCTGTACCAGGACAGGCTGGGGGTTGACCTGCTGGAAAGCAGCTCTGCGGAGAAGGACCTGGGAGTGCTGGTGGACGACAAGTTGAGCACGAGGGAGCAACGTGCCCTTGTGGCCAAGAAGGCCAAGGGTATCCTGGGTTACATTAGGAAGAGCATTGCCAGCTGGTTGAGGGAGGCGATCCTTCTTCTCTACTCAGCCCTGGTGAGGCCTCACCTGGAGTGCTGTGTCCAGTTCTGGGCTCCCCAGTACAAGAGGGATATGAAGCTACTGGAGTGAAGGGCCGTGAAGATGATGAAGAGCCTGGAGGATCTCTCATAGGAGGAGAGGCTGAGAGGGCTGTTCAGCCTGGAGAAGAGAAGACTGAGGTGGGGGGAATGTTACGAATGTGCGTAAGTATCTGAAGGGAGAGTGTCAAGAGGATGGGGCCAGTCTCTTCTCCGTGGTGCCCAGGGACAGGACAAGAGGCAGCGGACGCAGACTGAAAGGCAGGCAGTTCTGTCTGAACACGAGGAAAAACTGGAACAGGCTGCCCCGAGAGGTTGTGGAGTCTCCTTCCCTGGGGATCCTCAAAAGCCATCTGGACACAATCCCGGGCAACGCGCTCTAGGTAACCCTGTTTGAGCAGGGGGGGTTGGACTAGATGATCTCCAGAGGTCCCTTCCATCCCAGCTATTCTGTGATTCTGTATACAGGCATGCCCATGATCTTGCCTGCGTGAAGGCAACGCTGTGTCCAAGTGCACATATATATCCACAAGAGGCAGTCCTGCTCGTGCAGCATTCAAATCTTGGCCCCAGCAGTTTTGGGAGATTTTCTATTGACTTTAGTGGGGTTAAGATTTTAGACATTGGATGCAGAAAATCCCCCAGGCTCTCAGACCTCTTCTTCCTTATTGCCACCTTGCAACAGAGTCTTTGGCTATGTGGACTTGGCAGTGAGGTCAGAGCACTCAGCAGCGGCAGCACTGCACCTTTGGCTGCTAATTTCTCTCTTGTACCAAGGCAAAGGGACTTGATTTAAACCAGAAGAATTTTAAATGGACACCCAATCAGGAAAAAGAAAGATATTTTTGTTAGTCAAATTCACATTGTAATGGAATATACATCCTCTGTGTAATTGTGTTTGTGCAGTATTAGAGCCACTGCTATTCAACAGGAATAATGCTGTTTGGATTGGAGAGTTCAAATATCCTGATACCTAATTGCATCATTTACTCTCTAGTACTTTGAAATCCAGACTTCCTTCCTGTGCAGAGTCAGCTGGAAGCTTATTTGCCTCATGACTCTCCATGTGGTATGAAAGGAGGGAAAAGAAAAAAAAAAGACTTGGGTTAGCTCCAAGACTATTTCGTTTCAACTTCCTACCAGTAACCATAATGAGCTCTAGGGGAACTTGCACAGAATTACTAGGAAGGAAAAAAAGATGGGCTTGTGGCTGCAGTACTGGTCTGAGAGTTAGGCAGCTTTGCCAAAGACTTCTAGTGTGACTGAATGCAAATCTTATAGCTCTCAGTGCCTCCCTTCCTGCATTATCATACAAAGAAAGGATGATAGGAATGTTTTTAAAATGCTTCTCATAGACTTTTCTTAGTCATGAATTTAGATAGTAAGATTTCTGGAGTAGGAACTGTCTCTGTGATATGATCAATGCTTCAGATCAGCGCAAGCCTGATCATCAGGCTCTGTCATAATGTTATTAATAACAAAAAATTGCATGCAGAGTGCAAAGCTCTCTCTGGATTCCTGCTTGTGCTGATAGCAGGAGCGTGGCAGAGAGCAAAGCCATGAGCAGAAGAAATGCCACACAGCTCAGCTTACGATCACCAACATGAACCGCAAAATCCTAAACTCAGCCAACGGCAGGCGGTAACCCATCTTTGCAGCCGAGAAAGCAGGTCGTCATCATATGAGAAGGAACAAAGACCAAGGGCAACTCTGCAGCTCTGTCTTTCAGGTGGGATGGTGGACAGACAATTTTACTCACTCATAGCTACCTATCTGCAAAAATCTTCTCTGCCAGGTATCAAACATGTAATTGATCTCCCCACGTTCCCAAACTTCTGTCATGGCTTTTGATGTCTTTTTGGTGTAGATGCTGAGCTTTCCTGGGGGTAGCACTCTCTTGCAGAATGTTTTTTTCTACAATGTCTCTTTGAATAATATTCCAACAGGATTTGGCAACCATAGCAACATCAACAACTATTATAAGGAGCGAGTTTAATAATCAAAACATAGCATGATTTATGCCTAAACTCACCAAAGAACCTGTGCTTTGATTGAGCTCTCAGATAGGATTCCTCTTATGTTTCAGGTGACTATGTGCTATGGAAAGAACCAAAGAGAGAGATGATCAGACCGGATGATACTTATCACCCATCAGAAGAAAAATTTGACTGCAGAACCAGTGTCCAGGATGACTACCTCTATAGGGGGCCAGTTGCCACTAATAGCTGCAAACCTGTGAATCTGGCCCAGAAAAGCAAGGATCCCTTTGAGACTATAACAAATTATAAAGTGGATTATGTACTACATCCTTTGGAGAAGCCCTACGTCCATAAACATGAGAAATACAAGGCCAGTGAGGCCCCATTTGATGGCCTCACTACCCACAAGTTATCTTACAAGGGGCTGGCTGGCCAGCCAGCCCAGCTGGCAAAACCAGACCAGCCAAAGCCTCATCATGATCTTCCATTTTCATCTACAACAGAGTTCCAGGAAAAATACCGAACTTGGCCACTGCCTCCATTATTCACCAAAAAACCTGCTGTATATGTTCCTCCTGTGGAGAAAATGGACCTCCACACCACTACTCAGTTACATTACATGCATCCAAATGGCCAGCCGGCCAGGATGTGTCGGTCTTTGGTCCAATTTAAAAAAAGTACTGAACCATTTAATAGCTCTTCTACAATGAAGGAAGACTATAAGCCCTGGCAGTGCAAGCGAACAAAACCTATCATTCCTGTTCCTGAGCTGAGTTGCCCAGCAGAACCGATAGATTACTCAACTACCTTTCAGACCTACTACACACCTCATCCACTCTCTATCACGAAGAGCTGCAAGCCTCGCTGGCCAGGACCAAGGTCTTGGACGCCACTAGAGGCCAAAACCACCTATGCTACCAGTTACACACCAAAGGGCACTGCTAGATGCCTGGCTTCATACAAAGAGCCACCAGGTTACATGTTTAAGGGAACTGATGACATTGGTCACAAATTGTTTCTACCCGTTTTCAAGGGTGAATGCTCAGCAGACGGACGTTGAAGAAGAAAGAGAGTGGAAGCAGCCTTCTTGGGAAGGGATCCAAACAGCAGCACCTCAGTGAGCTATAAATGAAAGCTTGATTTTGTTTGTAACCTTCTTTAAAACTAATAATTTATTTTATAATTAGAAAGATCTAAAAAGTAACCTCCACTCAAGGTGCCGGCTTCCTATGGATTGGTTGTATAAATAAAAAGTATGATACCAGAAAAAGACACATTCATTAGTTGGTTATCTATATTTGTTTTTCTTTTTCCAGCCTAACTCTTGCTCTTTAATCAAGAGAGATACCTCCTTGTGAGATACTGAGACAGAGACCTGGGACATACATTGTTATTATCCATATCAGGAATTCATATTGCTGCTTCCATGAAGACAGTTGTACAACAGCCTGGTTAAATGAATTACGTGCCATTAAGTCATAGGTAAAAGTAACAATTGCATAACAAAGTCTGAGAGCTGGCCTTATTAGACTGTTCCATCAAAGACACGTGCAAAACATTCAATTATCGGCTAAAGTTTATTCAGGATCGCACCTGCATTAATTATGCCCCTTTGCTGCCTTGAGCTAGGATATCAGATGTGAAGCTGTTACTCCAAATATGCCATCCTTGGCTGACAACTCACATTGCAGACAGGCTCAGTCATTGGGTGGGAAACCTTTGAGGAAAGGCTCTTCACTGCAAGGTGCAGTGAGGGTACCAAAAATGTCATAGGCTTAAAGCTGTCATGTTGCTAAAGTTCAGCCAGCGGTTGGAGTTGTATTATCTTTTGGATAAGGTGCAGTATTAAGTTCCTGACAAGAGCTGTTCCTTTCTGCATCCAGGGTGCGTTTCTGTGGGCTTAGAAGGGTTACATTAGCGCTATGATACTTGTCAGCTTTTAAAGTGCATTCTACTTTCTTAAATCTGTCTTAATCATGATGTGTCAGCTGTGTCTGTATTCTGAGTTTTTAGCTCAAGTGCTAGAAACAGCTGTTGGGTGTTGGGGGAAAAGGTGATATTTCCCACTCAAAGTGGCTGCATTTAAAGAACAGGTGGAATTCAGTCTTCTCTATAAATGTATTTCAATATGCTTGAAATACTTTGAAACCCTTGGGGATGGAAGTCTTCCATAAATATGCACAAGCTAAAGCCAAACAAATTCCATCTAGAAAGGTGAATGTTTAACCCTTAGGGCAGGTAACCACTGGAACAATGTCCCTAGGGACCCTGTGGTTCTGCATCACTTGAAGACTTTAAGTCAGCCCTAAAGGCCTCTTTCAAACCTATGCTCCAGTTCAGCCAAAAATTATGGGCTTGCAGCAGGAGCAACTGGACAAATCTCCACAGGTTATGCTATACCAAAGGGCCAAACTAGATAATCATTGATGGCTCCACACAGCCTTCATAAAATCAGGAATCTAGAAAAAAAGTACTCAATTGCAGTGAGACAATGACCTGATATGTTCTGTATTTTTCCAGCTCCTTGTATTTTGCCAGCCTTCTTGAGTCTTTATACCTTTAACACTGAATTTTGACAGAAAAATGTGTTTTGTTCCACATCTCTTTTCATTCAATATTTTTTCTGATTGTATTTATTAGCCCCTAATTCTGTTAGTTCTACAGGTGAGTTTATATGCAGGAAGCTGCTGGGGCTTGTGATTAGGAAAAGGGATTGTTCTTCTATGTGTGAAGGCTCCTTGATGGTTCTTACAATTCTCTAATGTGAGAGTGGCAATGAAGGCAGAGCTGAGAGAGTCTAGGGTACAAATTCTCATCACAGGTGTTCTCGCTTGGTGGAAACAATTCTTATCCATATGGTCTTTATAACAGTGTACTATGTTAGTGAGCATGAGCAATTGCTGGATTTTGAAGTTTAGTAACAGAAGTCCTGATTCTGCAAGCAAGGCGCCAGCTTCTGCTCACAGCAGCTTCTATCAAGTAGATGTGACTGATCTCATCCAAAGCCTTTCATGGTATGAGACACACTTGTTTTTTCTTGATTTGTACTTAAGGTCTATAAAAACCAATGTATGATAACACTAAGGAAGAAAATGATTTCCCATGAATAACTAAGGATGTGGTTCCACAAAAATTTTAGCTAATGAAAACCTGGCCTGCTGCAGCTTCATCTTTCTTTCTGTCTCCAGTTGCATGTTTCCCCCATTCTCGCCCTTTCTAGTGCATTAGTGCTTGTCCGGCTGCGTGGTGGGATAGATCAGGGAGCTGATTTGGCTAAAAGAAATTTGTTGTTTCAGTAAGCTTAAAACTCATCAACATCAGTTCCCTGAGCCCGTGCGCCAGGTGGTTACACAAACACTGACGCTGATGCAGGAGACGGTTGGGGAAAAGCAGGGCGCAGACTCCGGCAGTCCAAACTTATCCCTGAGCTGCTGTGCCTCACCACCCCCCCCCCCCCCCCCCCTCAAGCCTGTCATTCGCTCTCCCCGAATGTGGTGTTGCTCTGAAACACGGGCTCTGCATGCTACCTGGCCTCCTGTGGGGCAGGGGTTGGCCCAGCTCTGTCCCTGACAGCCTCCTCCTCTTCTGTGGAGTGGGGAGCTGGCTGCAGGGTTAGTCTGAGCGTAATGGGAGAGGACTGCACTTCTCCCATCTCTGCAGTTTAATTTTGATAAAAAGGAGCAGTGTCCTTATCAAATCAGGATAAGAGAAAACTGTAATTTGGGGGACATTTTCAGAGCTTAATGCAGAAAATAAAGATGGATTGTACCGTATCACACAGGACTTGGTCACTGTTTTCATGCAGAGTGAGATTATGAATGAAGACGAGCAGAAACTAGTCCTTCCTTATGTCTGTGACAGTAAAATTTTTCTTCTTCTTATCAGAAGGAAGGAGACATGAGTTATAAGACCTGCAAAAGGGCTTAAAAGGGCACCGAACTACATGAAGTTACGTACAGGAGAAGGAGGCAAGTGAAACTGTACCTGTGTGTATGGCAGAACCAGAAATATTGATGAACCAGCACTTGTTCAGAAACCTCTCAGGTGCTGTATAGTGGAACTGCCTGTTTTGTGGGGAAATAACGAGGGGAATGAAAAAGGACCACCTCCCCTAGCACAGAGGCTGGTGTTGGGAGTACCCCTGAGAAGCTGGTAAGACTTGCCCTTGTGATGCAGGGACGACTGATAGTTCTCACTTGGTGAACACAAGGGTGGGAGAGGGGAATCAGCCGTGAGGAACCTCCTGTTTCATTCATTTTGTTCATTTGAAGAATGGATAATGTATGCTACGAATACCTAGAGACTGGCCTATGTATAAGAGCTATTATCAAAGAGTATTGCAAGAGCCAAAATGCAAGGATGAAAGCAACGGACTTTGTCCGTAGTGGGGACGATTTCGAAAGGCATGCAGTGCAGGTAGTATCTGCTGTGAAGCATGCAGAAGAGATCAGAGAAGACTGTACTTGGCAATAATAGACAAAAAAGGTTAGTGTCAGAGGAGGTTACTATGCTGGTATCAGTTACTGTAGTAGTGCCAGCAGCCATCAGCAGTGTACAGGAGAAGTCCTCCATACTCACCTCGCAGAGCCCACTCAGAGGGAGGGCTTCTCCCTGTACCCTTGAAAACATCAAAGCAATAGGAGAAGTTAGCGGTCCTACTGTCTCCAGGGAAAAAGCAAAATCGGTTAGGCAGTTACCAGTCTCAAGAACTAAAGCTGAATTAAGGGGACATGTCCAAACTAAATGGTAGAAGGGTACCAGCTTCCCAGAAGATCCCTAATGTCCAGATAGCCAGGAGGCAAGAAAGCCTAGGATTTCTGTCTATGAAGAGGTTAAGCAAAAAGACTTAATTCCCATGTCCTCAGAGGGAACTAAAATAAAATAGCCCTAACAGAGACTAAGTTAAGCTGGAATAAAGAGGGAGTTTACCAACCAGTTCAGTATTGAACTGCATTATATTAGCCATTCAGCCACATAAGACCATCTCTGCCTGCAGGGACTATAGGTCCAGGGCCTCACATCTCCATGTGACAGAGTTATTCCCTCTTGAGAGGTTTTGAAGCTGGCAATGGGTGAGAGGTCAAAAAATGAGTATCTTAAATATTTATGCTCCAGAATATGAACAGACAGCAGATCGGTAAAAAGTTTACCATTACAAACTCTCTGAAGAGTGTAACCCAACACAGAAGATGATTGACAGAGAGAGAAGGAGAGAATTGTCAGCACCTCAAGGAATTCAGAGCCATGAGGAAACTGTTGAAAGGCATGCGGTATGCATCAGCAAAGACTAAGGACATGTACATCACAGAGAGAAGCAATATTGATCCTGGGCATGGTACTTCAGAGACAGAAGGAAGCTGGATTCAAAATGTACAAAAAAGCAAATGCTTTCTTTATGAGACAAAAAATGACTTTCCTAAGACATGGAGAGGATCTTCCTGATGCAACCAATGTCATGTCAGTCGGAAAGAGCCACCTGGGCCAGAATTATAAAGTGAGTGCATCGAGATGGGAAACTTTCTTTACAGAATTTTTCTGAGGTATGATGAGTAGACTTTGCTTTTCCCTCTTACAAATACCCTTTTACAGAACCCTCTTCCCTGCACTGTGCTGGTGTCTCTCTTTGCTTCTTTCCCACGTTATAAACCATAATGTTATGATTTGTGCCCGTCTTCTTGCCTTTGCTGGGAAATCCTGCTTTGGAGCAACCTGACTTTTTTTCACCTCTCCATCTGACTCCGGATCTGTCCTACAGATGTTTTAGGCTGCCTTCAACAGGGAAGGAAAAGGGTGACTCTTAAAGTGGCAACAGTGTTTTTGCCTTTGTACTCTCATCGAGCTCACTAGCACTCTGTTTTCTGATGCAAAGAACTGCCCCGGACATCTAATTCACAGCAGAGAGATGCGCGCGCTTGCAAGACTCTGCCCAGCAGTGGCAAGCGGGCTCAGGGGTGCTGCTCTGCAGGGCCAGCAGACCCATGGTTTTTCTGCTGCCTATGGTATGCTCCCTGTGCACAGCTGGATTTGATTTGCTGTGATTTGTATGTAGTGGGTTAACAGTGAGAATTTTTTTCTTCTTTGGTAATAAAATCACTAGGCTGTATGCTGTTAGTTGAAAACTGACTCCATCAGTGTTTCACTATGATGTGAAGTGTTTTAACAAGCATCCACCAATCTCATGGACTACTTATTTAAACCAAAAACTTCTCCTTTAAAAAAGATGTGTTCTGAGAAAAGGATGGGGCAAACTCTCTCTACAGCCTAAACCAAACTTCGCCTCAGCACAATCATTAAGAATTTCCTTAAAAGAAAAGAAACCTGTCCTGGCTCCTCACTTGGAGATTAAATTGTTCACAGCTTGTCTAGTGTGATCTCTCCAGGTCAAGTTTTATTTTTGTCCTTTGCCATTGGTCCTACGGGGTTTGTAAAAGCACTAGATCCAAACCTACTGTGAGAGCTAGAAGCAGCAGGCTGTTTTATAGTGTTAAGGAGAGAGGTTTTCCATGCCCATGTCATCCTAGCCATGTGTGGATAAGTAAATGCTGATTATGCAGTCATCCACATCCTGCCACTGCCTAAGCAAACAGTATTTATGTGTAGCCAGAAGACAACCCTCCAACGCCCCCTTTCCCTTTAGCCACATAAAACTGCACACTTTTATTTATGGCTACACAGATTCAAAGTGTTTCTTTGCGAGGGACTTAAAGGCTTAGGGATCATTGCTGTTTTTTTTTTTTTTTTTCCTTCCATCCCAACATGTACGCAGTGCGTTAGCAGGCAGGATAGAGAACTGCAACAAAAAAAGTAGCATGCAGTTTGTTCTGGGTTTTGGCTAATGAGCCCTTGTTAGCGGAGTGTTATAAACCTTAGCCTTATCCAGGTGGCTGATTTACCTCCCTCCTCCTCTTTAGCTGCAGAGTCCTGGCTCTGGCTGCACAGGAAAGTCTCCAGCCTTGGGATCTCTTCAGGAAGGGCCTCAGCCTACGAATTTCTGAACCCTGAGGGGTTTGGCCAAATGCCTGGTCTTTTGGCTGATACCAGGAAGGAGGGGGCCTGTCTCTCTGGGGAAAGTGTGGAACAACTTTGCAGGCCAGGGCTGCTGCCTCTGATTGAGCATTTTGTGGTACCTGGTTTGCTTTTGTTGTATAAGCTTTGTGTTCATGTAGGAGTACCTTCACTGACGTGATGTGCAGAAGAATTTGGTCTTTAGAACCATGGTGCTCTTGTTCCTCAAAGGACGTCCCACTTGCTGATGGAGGCCCTTGTTTTAGAGGGAGTCTGGAAGGAGCACGATTGGACAGAGTTTCTCCTTGGAAAGACGTTGTGGGCAGTAATGTTTTGTCAGTACACCAGATTCTCATGAGTAACCAATTATCTGTTTGCTTTTGGAGTTATATTTGGTGGTGTTGGCAGAAAATATTTCAACTTTCACACTTTCATTCATTAATTTATGCTGTCAGCTACGTTCCATGTCAGTGATAAGGTGTAGGCTTCACCCTCAGAATCTCTAATAATAATGATTAGAATTTGGTAATTGTTTTCATTTTGTTGTTTCTTTTGATTTTTTTTTTTTTTTAATGGTGGGTAGCCATTTTCAGTTGTGCTAACCTTGTTTCTTCCTGCATGAAGCTCTTGTGTGTGAGTGTGAGATAGTATACAGCATCTGACCACTGAGGAGCTGCTGTTCACAATCTGGTTTCACTATGTTTCATGAGCTACTTTGTGCTCAATTTTCCATTTGGAAAAATTCTGCCAGAGGGACCCTGCTGTGGTACGTCTGCAATTTGAAGGTACTCGTGTGCTCTCAGCCTTGCTGCCTCAGACGCCCAAAATGCTGTGGATGGCTCAGATTTCATATAACACTGGCCAAAAAGAAAGGGTGGAGTCTGTGGTTTCATGGACCTTCTAGTCTCACTCTTCATCACTGATTGCTAGAGGAAAGTTGAGGTTCAGCACCCTGCTTGCTTCTCAGAACAACAGATAGAAATAAAATGTACTCTTGTGTTGATAGCTCCATGTACAGCTTTGCCCGGAAGTGTAAAATGGCAGCAGACTGTATCATCTCTGAAAAGGCAGGGGAGGACACAAGTTAAGTATCATAATTAGGAGAAGCCTTTGTGGGACTTGGCTTTTTCCTTCTCATTCTGGATAAATAATATGTGAGTTATATATTATCATGACACATTACTGGGAATTTTATTTCAAAATTTGGGGAAAATTACTACATAGAAGTCTTTTAGATTTGATTCTGATCAACTGGAAAGAGTTGGTTGGAGCAGTTGGAAGAGCAGTGTTTGTGAAAGTGACAATATATCAACATAGTTTTAGAGCGAGAAATGTGTCAGAGTAACAGAAAAAGAATGGCTGACAATCTCTGCCCCCT